TAGGGAAGAGGAGGTCTATAAGAAGAAAATCTAGGTACTATGCTATTACCATTAAAGGGAAGCCTGGGTTCCAGGCAGGTCATAATATTAGATGGGGCTATTGACCGGTTGACCTTTAACTATACATACCTTTATGTTGATGAGGTGAGATATGCACCTGAAGTTAGTAAAAAGGTACAGGAAATTGATAATCTTTTGTGCCTTGGTTATTATAAGAGGGTTTTGGGGTTTTTTTTGGAGACAGAGTCTCACTTTGTTGCCCTTGGTAGAGTGTAGTGGTGTCATAATTCATAGCAGTCTCAAATTCTTGGGCTCAAGTGATTCTCTTCCCTCGGTCTCCTACATAGCTGGGACTACAGGCACCTACCACAATGCCTGGCTTTTTTTTTTTTAAAGGGTCGGGGTTTGTCTCTTGGTCTGGCTGGTCTCGAACTCCTGAGCTCAGGCAATCTACCTGCCTTGGCCTCCCAAGGTGCTGGGATTATAGGCATGAGCCACCATGTCTGGCAAGAGAAATATTATTAATTATCACAAAACTAAATTAAATATGAGCTCTCATACCATACAGCCTGATTTCAAGTTAATTCACAGATAGATGACAGGATGATGTAAGCTTGTTCATAATCTTTTTTAAAATACTCCTTCACATTTTACGTGTGACTTTGAAAATCTTGTCTTTTTTGTTTTCAAAGAAACGTGTTAACACCATACTTACCTTGTAGCTAGACAGATAAGTGTACAGCAGCAGCTCATCCACGTGATGGACCATATCTGTAAGTTAATTGATACAGTTCCTGCTGATAAACTGAAAGCTTTGGATTGTGGGGACGAACTGCTTCTGCAGCGGAACGTGAGGTACCTTGACTTTTCTCCTTCTGGGACATATCTGATTGCATTTCTACCAGTCTAAATCAGAAATGAGCAGGGCAGAGTGTCCAAGCTTTTTGGCTGGAAATCACAGGAGGATTGTCATGTTGCTGTGTTTTAAGTCAATTTACTTTTTAAACAGTTTTAGTATTTGTGTTCAATGTTTTGAGATTGGAAAAAAGAATATATTATGCTACAATTTCTATTTGGGATAAAAACTGAAGGTAGACTTCTGTGATCCACCAGAGCAAACAACTTAGATATAATATGTTGTCCTCTTTTTCTCTTCAGAAGGAAACTGCTAGCGGAAGTAGATTTTAACAGAAGTGGCACAAGTCACCTTGGCTCAGCGTGGAGACTCAGGCCTGATCCTTGTGGTAGCCCTGTGGAGGAGGATTCTTCTGGGGAGAATTTTATGAAGGAGTTAGCTTTCCCATACCTCCCCTCAAATCCAATTTCCCCTGGGGAATATTTACCAACTACCGCCCTGGGAAAGACAGGATTCTTAGCCACCACAAAGAATCACTGTGAAAGCATGTTATTGGAGTCCTCTTTACAGAAATCCTTTGTAAGTAACAACTGGGCTGAAACCCCAAAGCTAGAAAAAAGCAAGGAAAGCTCTTTTTTCCCAGGAAGTGTTCTCACAAGCACTGCTGTGAAAGATCAGAATAAAAACACTGCTTCAATAAATGACTTAGAAAGAGAAATCCAAGCTTCCTGTGAAGTTGATAATTTTGACATAGATGACTTTGATGATGATGATGACTGGGAAAATATAATGCATAATTTAGCAGCCAGCAAATCCTCCACAACTGCCCATCAGCCCATCAGGGAAGGTCGACCAGTTAAATCAGTGTCTGAAAGAATTTCTTCAGCCAAGACAAACTGTCTTCCAGTGGCATCTACTGCTCAAAACATAAACTTCTCAGAGACAATTCAGAGTTACACTGGTAAGTTTAAAATAAATTCAATGCCTGTGTATTATAATGAAAACAAAACTGTCCAAAATAGGCATAGTATAAGAAGAGCCACAGCACGTCATCACTACCTGAGAACCACATTGTTTCTGTGCAGATTCTGCTGATGATAATGAATTGTAAGTCACAATTTCAAAAGCAAGTTGCTCTTTTCTTTTTATAGCAGCTACAGTTTTATAGAATGTGTAATTACAACCTATTGTAGTAAGGCTCTAAAGTCAGTTCAGATGTGCTTTGCCTTTAAATTAACATGTTTTAGTCCCTAAGCAAAAAAGCTCACAAAGGCCAAGTGTTTTAATGATTTGGGGAAGGGAAAAAGCAAAGATGAATTTATATGCTAAAATTATGTGTATTTTTAGAATTCTGAATTGATAAGAATTAATTTACAAAGAAGAAAAGCATGTTTTATGTCTTAAAATACTAAAATATAGAGTAATCTAAGGAAGATATGAAATCAGAAATTTCTTAAATCAGTCAGATTCGTTCTTTGGGCCTCCTGTTCTCTATGTACCATGTGCTCTGCTGTGTGCTGCTAATTCAAACTTGAGCAACATAGTTCTGCCCTCGTGGAGCTCACGGTTTAGTGAGAGAGAAGCTTTTGAAAGAGTGAAGTTAGCCATCATTAAGCCTACAGAGAAAAGCCAAAAATAATTTTAAAACCTACATCAACCCTATAAAATTATCAAAAGTATTTTTTAGCTGAAATAAGTTTCTGTGTACTTTTTTTTTTTTTTTAAGAGACAGAGTCTCACTTTGTCACCCTTAGTAGAGTGCTGTGGTGTCACAGCTCACAGCAACCCCCAGCTCTTGGACTTAGGCAATTCTCTTTCCTCAGCATCCCAAGTAGCTGGGACTACAGGCGCCCGCCACAATGCCTGGCTATTTTTTATTGCAGTTTGGATGGGGCCGAGTTTGAACCCACTACCCTCCATATATGGGGCCCAGCGCCCTACTCACTGAGCCACAGGTGCTGCCCTGTGTACAGGGATTTATAAGGTACAGCCCTCCCTAATTTTGCCATTGACGACTGACTTAATACCACAGAGTTTGTTCTTACAGTTCCTGTTGACCTTTAATAACTGTTAATGGGTTTACTTTTGTGTCTTGTTAGAGTGTGTTGTACTTGATGTCTGCAATTATCTTGAGACAGCTGAGAGTTGAGGCAGAGTAGCTGCCAGAACTGCAGCCGCTGGGCTGCCAAGCCAGGGTAGACGTGGGAGACACCACAAAAGAGAAATCTGAGAAAGCCCCAGACAGGGTGACTGGGGAAATTGTGACACCGTTAGCAGAAGCAGGGAGGTCAGGAGGCAGAGTCAGGTTTGGAGAGCGGCCGAGGAGGGTTATTTGAGTAAAGTGTTGTGAGCCATTCAGGTAGAAATGTCTTGTAGGCGTCTGGAGGTGCTGCAGGACAAGCTGAGCAGGGGTCAGTCAGGCATTCTCTGCACATAGGTTCTTTTAAGATGACAGGGCTAGGAAATTCTAAAAAGGAATCTAAGGAGCCAGTCCCCTAAAGACACTCAAATTTAAAGGTTGAGTGGAAAAGCAGAGCCAGTGGTTGTCTTGGAATAAGTACTCATGGTGGGTCCTGCAGACAAGTCAAGGAAAGACTTGATTTGAACCCTTAAAGGCTGTGGTGCCTTTGAGATGGTTGAGGAGGTGTGTTGGGGTGATTCTGCCCTGAAGGGAGGTGCTAAAGCTGTTCTTGGAGAACACTCATATACTGATTTTTCTTAATGTTGATTATTTTCTTAGATAAGTCAGAGCAAGATTCAACATACAGAAATGTGAAACATGAACATTTCCAAAGTCTTAATTTCCCGCATACAAAAGAAATGTTGAAGATTTTTCATAAAAAATTTGGCCTGCACAATTTTAGAACTAATCAGCTAGAGGCGATCAATGCTGCGCTACTTGGTGAAGATTGCTTCATTTTAATGCCAACTGGTATGTATTTTTAGATATAAACTGGCAGCAATCCATTGGCAGATGTTAAATGTAAGCTCTTCTAATAGACATAAAAATAGACTACCTACAGAGTATTTCTGTCATTTAAAGACTTCTTAAACTTCCCATATCATAGTAAGAAAGTGTATTACCTCATATCCTCTGTCCTAGTTGTTGACCTGATAAAATTTATGGCCTTGTAAGATTTTCAACTCAAAATTCATTGTATTAAACTGACCTCAAATTTTTCTTTGGGTATTCTTCTTTTTTTTTTTTTTTTGAGACAGAGTCTCACTATGTTGCCCTCTGTAGAGCGCTGTGACGTCGCAGCTCACAGCAACCTCAAACTCTTGGACTTAAGTGATTCTCTTGCCTCAGCCTCCCAAGTAGCTGGGACTACAGGCACCCACCACAACACCTGGCTATTTTTTGTTTATAGTTGTCGTTGTTTGGTGGGCCGTACTGGATTTGAACCTACCAGCTCCAGTGTATGTGGCTGGCACCCTAGCCACAGAGCTACAGGTACCAAGCCAGGTATTATTCTTTTATCTAGTCCAAATAAGTCTGGAAAGTGAACAAAAAAAGAACAAAAAAAATCACTGTCAAGGACTATGCCCATTTCTGACACTTGGCATGATGTAGCCTGTTGGTACCTGGCGGCATGGTACCATGGTACCAGTGTGGTGAGCATGTCCCTGCCTAGGCCTGTGTCCTTGAGTGTGCAGTGTTCTCACAGGGTAGCATGAGGATTATGTGGAAAACATTAGTGTACTTCTTTCATGGCCCCAGTTTTAAAGAGTCCAGGACACTTCACTGTGCTAGTAAATCTCACCACAGCTATTCAGTGGTTGTCCATGTAAGCATATTAAATGGTCAGAAATCCATGTAAGAATATTAAATGATCAGAACAAGAAGAATGAGAATTGGAGTTTTATTACCTATGTGGCTTCTTCCTTCTGCCTTTTACTTGACTTACTGTGACCTTTAGCAAGTTAGTGCTGTCATTATTGTTGACAGTTATTAGTATTGTGTGAGCATCTGAATTTTTTCAAACTGATGTTAAAATTCAGACAGTATTGGCTCAAGAATCAACATTTTAAGTTTTACTAATTTTTTAAATCATTCTTTGTCTTTCTTTAGACTTTAACACTGGAAAGGACCTTGGCAATGATCTAATCTAGTGATTTTCAGGGCTTTCTGTGGTCTTCTAGGATTTTAAGAGGAATCTTTTTTTTTTTTTTTTAGGCAGAGTCTCACTGTGTAGCCATCATATCTGGCTAATGGGACATTTTTAAGGTCCGTTATGCCCCAGTTTTAACTTCTTGATTTATATGTACATAAAGAGAGAGATTCCAAATAAGGTTCCTGTTAGACAAAAAGTTTTTTTTAACTATTGAGCTAGTACATTTTGCAGGTGATAGGATTGAGGTTAAATGACATGTCTAAGTTGTCATAGTGAATTAAGTGGTAGAGCAGAAAATAGAGCTCAGGTCATTGTCCTGTGTTCTTCTCTCTCCCTAATATCTCCACATACATATAACATGAAATTTACTTAGTACCCATGTGAAAAAGAAGGAATGTGATACATAGTTTTAAAGAAAGTTGAAGTACTAAGAATTTCCTGGAATCATTAGTAGATGGGTGAAATTGAAAACTGGGGAGTGATCATAGCTCATAGCAAACTCCTGGGCTTAAGCAATTTTCTTGCCTCAGTCTCCCAAGTAGCTGGAACCACAGGTACCTGCCACGACACCTGGCTATTTTTAGAGACAAGGTCTCCCTCTAGCTTGGGCTGGCCTGGAACCTGTCAACTCAGGCAATCCATCCACCTTGGCCTTCCAAGTGCTAGGATTACAGGTGTGAGCCACTGTGCCCAGCTAGAAAGAGATTTTTCTTTTTATCTATTATTAGTACTCACAAACATAATTCTATCCTTTCATTTCAGAGACAGATTGGGAATTGGGAATATCACCATATTGAGGAGAGTACTGGCAATGAAAGCTCTGGTATTCACCTCTGGCACTCTATTGAGGGTGACCTAGTGAGACATAGTGAGAAGCTTATATTGTTATAATAGCTTTAAAAAGCTAAGGTCCTAAAAGTGCCTTATGGAGCATCAGGGAAATAGTAAATCATGTTCTTTATGGTTTTTAATGTTATATATTGTGTTATATCTAACTCTTTTAATAAAATAAATAAATAAATATTGTGGGACCGCACCTACGGTGCATCTTACAAGGGTACATGTAAAATTTACTAGGTGTAGAACATAAATGTCTTAATACAATGGCTAAGAAAATGCCATGAAGGCTATGTTGACCAGTTTGATGAAAACATTTCAAATTGTATATAAAACCAGCACATTGTACCCCATGATTGCATTAATGTACACAGCTATGATTTAATAAAAAACATGGAAATAAATTTTACATAGAAAATAATTATTTTAATACTAATATAACTTTTATTTTTGTTTGTTTTTTATTTATTTATTTATTTTTAGACAGAGTCTCACTATGTTACCCTGGTAGGGTGCTGTGGTGTGACAGCTCACAGCAGATTCTTGGGCTTAAGTGATTCTTTTGCCTCAAGTAGCTGGGACTACAGGTGCCTGCCACAACGCCTGGCTATTTTTTGGTTTTAGTTGTCATTGTTGTTTGGCAGGCCTAGGCTGGATTCAAACCCACCAGCTCTGGTGTATGTGGCTGGTGCCCTAGCGGCTGAGCTACAGGCACCGAGTCCTAGTATAACTTTTAGAGACCCTTTGTACTACCAGAAATAAAAAGTTTACTGTATTTTGATTTCCCAAGTAGACTTATTTTTTTTTTTGAGACAGAGTCTCAAGCTGTCACCCTGGGTTAGAGTGCTGTGGTGTCATGGCTCACAGCAACCTCCAATTCTTGGGCTCAAGTGATCTTCTTGCCTCAGTTTTCTGGTTTTTTAGTGGAGGCAGGATCTCACTCTTGCTCAGGCTGGTCTCGAACTCATGAGCTCAAGCAATCTATTCATCTTGGCCTCCTAGCCCAGTAGACTTTTTTTTTTTTTTTGGCTGTTTTTGGCCAGGGCTGGGTTTGAACCCACCACCTCTGGCATATGGGGCGGGCGCCTCCTCCTTTGAGCCACAGGCGCCTCCCCCAAGTAGACTTTTAAGTAATACCTTTGCATTGAAGTTTCTTACTCTTATTCTTGGCTATCATTATCAGATATGCCTATTAAGATGTCCCAGGCCAGCATTGTGGCTCATGCCTCTAATTCTGGCACTTTGGGAGGCTGAGGCAGGAGGATCACTTGAGCCCAGGAGTTTGAGATTGTAGCGAGCTATGATGACATCACTGCACTCTAACCTCGGCAACAGAGCAAGACTGCTCAAACAAAACCAAAATGATGTCCTAAATAAGATCAATTTTGTACATTATTTAAATTGACTAAATAGTTTGGGTAATTTGAGTATGGCAAATTGTTAGCACCATGAGTAATATCCCTTGTTCTGTTAGTGAATTATTTTAAATATTTTTTCGTTTTTTTTCTTAATTAAATAATAACTGTGTACATTAATGCAATCATGGGGTACAATGTGCTGGTTTTATATACAATTTGAAATATTTTCATCAAACTGGTTAACATAGCATTCACAGCATTTGAATTATTTTAAATATCATATGTCATTTATTTTGAACTTTTACCTTCATGCTCTCAAGCTAGAACCTAACGTATTTTTTTCCATTTGTCTTTAGGAGGTGGTAAAAGTTTGTGTTACCAGCTACCAGCCTGTGTTTCTCCTGGGGTCACTGTTGTCATTTCTCCCTTGAGATCACTAATTGTAGATCAAGTCCAAAAGCTAACCTCCTTGGATGTAAGTTATAAAATTAAAATACTGATAAAAAAGTGTTTCACAGGGTGGCGCCTGTGGCTCAAAGGAGTAGGGCACCGGCCCCATATGCTGGAGGTGGCGGGTCAAACCCAGCCTAGGCCAAAAAACTGCTTTTAAAAAAAAAGTGTTTCACAAATAATTATATTTCAGTACTCTCAATAACCCTTTTATCAAATAGTTCATAAATTATAAAGCATAAAGGTTCATTTAATACAATTAAAATACAAGTTCAAAAATTCTGATATGGATAACCTCCTGAAGTTTAATCTGATTTTATTCTACAGGAATGTATTTTGGTAAGAACTTGTAACCTATACTATGTTTTGCTGAAGTAAATTTTTTTTTACTAATAGGAAAGGATTTCTCATTTCACTCCTGCCAGATCAGCATATGCATTCTTTCCCCTTACATCTTAAAATGCATACACATTTCATAGGCCTTCACACATATTGTTTTCCTCATGGCTAAGTGTAAGAAGTGGATTAATGCATTCTGCAGAATTCTTCATATTAAGGTGAAATAACTATTTATGAGTCACCAACCTGCAACAAGACCACAGTTTGCTTTCTTTTCCAAAGAGTGTCTTAGTGCAGAGATGGTAGCCATCATTCAACTGTTTGTAATATTATGGCCCTCTCTTTGTTGCTTGCAATGAAACCCCAAAGATCTGTTTACTTAAAAAAAGATGTGGCCATTCAGGCTTAGCGCCTTTTGCTCAGTGGCTAGGGCACCAGCCACATACTCCGGAGCTGGTGGGTTCGAACCCACCCAGGCCTGCCAAACAACAGTGACAACTACAACCAAAAAAGTAGATGGGTGTTGTGGCGGGCACCTGTAGTTGTAGCAACTTGGGAGGCTGAGGCAAGAGAATCACTTAAGCCCAAGAGTTTAAGGTTGCTATGAGCTGTGATGCCATGGCACTGTGCCAAGGGTGACATAGACTCTGTCTCAAAAAAAAAAAAAAAAAATGTGGCCATACTGGAATCTCTTAGATATTAAATTCATATTTATCATATTTCTGGAGATGAACAGTAAAGCAATTCAAGTAAACAATAGGAAGACTATTTTGAGTTATGCTTATTAAGTTTTTTGTTTGTTTTGAGACAGAGTCATAGTTCACAGCAACCTCGAACTCTTGGGCTTAAGCAGTTCTCTTGCCTCAGCCTCCCAAGTACTGTATTTCCCCAAAAATAAGACACTGTCTTATATTTATTTTTTCTCAAGAAGACACACTAGGGCTTATTTTCAGGGGATATCTTATTAAGTATAATACAACAATCTACATTTATTCAAATACAGTTAAGTCATCTTCTTCTGGAACCTGACAGGGGGAGCTGACCTTGTTGGTGGGGCTGGCGCTAGTGATGCATGAACTCCTTTCCCCTAGCCGTTGGCACATGTGCAATAGGATGCCTCTGACCATGGTTATCACCCGCATACCCGTGCAAGTGCTAATGGCTTGGAGAAAGGAGCTGTGGCAGATAAAAGGTATTCCAGTCTTCCTTACTGCTCTGCGCCTAAATGCATGGCATGGCTATGCAGATAACACTGCATAGCCATGCCCATCACTAGGTCTTATCATCGGAGTAGGGGTTATATTTAACCAATGCATAGAAATCCTGGTAGGGCTTATTTTCAGGGAAACACAGTAGCTGGGACTACAGGCACCTGCCACAGTGCCTGGCTATTTTTAGAGAAGAGGTCTTACTCTGGCTCAGGCTGGTCTTGAACCTGTGAGCTCAGGCATTCTACCCACCTCGGCCTCCCAAGTGCTGGGATTACAGGTATGAGCCTTTGTGCCCGGCCTGTTTGTTATTCAGACAGATTCTTTCTTTGTTGCTGTCCGTAGAGTACTGGGGCATCACATCTCACAGCAACCTCAAACTCTTGGGCTCAAACAATTCTCTTGGCCTCAGCCTCTCAAGTAGCCGGGACTACAGGCACCCACCAGAACACCTGACTATTTTTTTTTCTTTTAGAGACAAGGTCTCACTCTTGCTCAGGCTGATCTCAAACTCCTGAGCTCAAGCAGTCCACTCTCCTCAACCTCCCATAGTGCTAGGATTATATGTGTGAGCCTCTGCACCCAGCCCTTACAAGGGTTTTTAAAAACATGTACTAAGGGTGCCAAAAAATGTGGGGTTTTTTGTTTGTTTGTTTGTTTGTTTGTTTTTGAGACGGAGCCTCAAGCTATCCCCCTGGGTAGAGTGCTATGGCATCACAGCTCACAGCAACCTCCAACTCCTGGGCTCAAGCGAGTCTCCTG